CCAAGGAAAGAAGGAGTCCAGGGCAGTCCCAGGGAAGAGGGAATGTGAGAGGTTCTGAGGCCAGAGCAGTGGTTCTCAACTGCAGGCTGACAGCTGACCTTAAGTTGACTGAACCCTTTTAAATCAGAACTTTCTCAAGAATCAGAGCGTTTCACAGGTTCCCAGGAGACTCTGATGGGCAGGCAATATTGAAAACACTGTTAGAGAAACACGGAGACGTAGCTAGACAGTCAGCAAGACAAGCAGGGTTGTCAGAGACTCAGGTGCCGAATGGGTCCAACTACAGTTTCATTCCTTCCCCCACCCCACCCCACCCTACCCCACCCCACCCTACGTAGGCGGAGTAAACGCGTTGCCTGGCGACAACTCCAAACACTCAGAGCCTGGCAGAGAGAGGAGCACCAGAAGGGCGGGATAAAGCGCGGCCTGGGACTGGTCTGGGTGTTCTGTGAGGAGGAACCCCCGAAAGGGGGTCTTTCCAGGTCAGAGCTTGAGGTAGCGTGTTTGCCATTTCCAGGAGGCCGGGATGGAGACAGTAGTTCGAGGAATGCCTTTGGAGTACCCTCGTAAGCCGGAGCGACTCAATGCCTATGGTAACGGATGGTGGGGCGATAGAGGGGAACGGGTAGAGGGAGGCCAGAAAGAGAGTGGGAAGGGGACGGACCTGTGGGACGAGGTAGAGGCCAAGGGCACTGAAGAGGGTGTAACCCTGTCTCTATCTGTCCCTGTTTTTGTCTCCATCTCTCCCTGTCTCTGACCCCGTCTCTTGTCTCTTCCCATTCTTGTCACTCTCTGTCTGGGTCTCCCGGGCTGGGGACCTGCGGACCCAGAGCGCGAGGTGGTGGTGAACATGCTGAACTCGCTGTCACGAAACCAGACGCTGCCGCAGATCACGCCCCGATGCGGGTGCGTGGACCCGCTGCCCGGCCGCCTGCCCTTCCAGGGTTATGAAAGCCCTTGCTCCGGCCGCCACTACTGTCTGCGCGGGATGGACTACTGCGCCACCGGGGCACCCTGCACCGAACGCCGACTGCAGCCTTTGTGCTCAGCGCAGCCTACTGTAAGGTTCGCAGGGCCCCGCCCTGCTCAGCCGGGACCCGCCCCAATACAAACCAGGTCCCCAGAGTCCTGTCCTACCCCGGCTGCAAGCTCTCCATCCCGAGCCACTTCTAGCCTTCCTCCTCTTCACCAGGCCCCACCCCGCCTAAGCCAGCTCTGCCGCCTTACCCGCCCTCTCCCTGTCTCCCTCTCGGGCCCCACGGCCTGAGCAGACCGCTGAAGCGGGAGAACCTGCACGAAGATTCCCCCAAGTTTCTGATCCTGCCCCTCCTGAACTGTGCTCAAGGTCAACCTGGCTCCAGTGTCTGTTCTGGAGGCTCCGTCAGAGGGTTCTGTTCAGAAACCCGGAACACTAGTCGCATCCCCTTCCCACGCCCGCCGGCCACACTCTCTCCCTTGACACTCGGTCCTGGGGACATATTCCCAGAAGTGTCCTCTATTCCTAGACCTCGGGTCATCGTCAGTAATAGGCAGGGTTACTGCCCAGTGCTAAGTGGGCAAGGAAATGGTGAATGGATTACCAGAGGGCCCTGGCCTCATCGGAGCCCCGCACTACCTCCGGAGGTAGACAACATTGTATGTTACTCCTGAGAAAACTGAGACCGGAGCGCTCAGCCGCAGTCCAGACTTTTCTCTATACCCGGCGGCAGACAAGGCGGGCTGAACCACAGAAAACTACAATGTCCACATCGGTCTAAAGAGCTGTCCAGGGGGTGTTTCTGAACACTGCCCCTAACCCTATGGTGATCCCTTCCGCCCCTCCTAAGTGCGAAACTGGGTCTTATCCCTTACAAGGGAATGGGGGAGAGAGAAAGTGCCTGAGCCTCAGAAATGTCACCTGTCGATAGTGTGGAGTAATTGCGAGGATCCCGGGACTCCCACTGGATGGCAGAAACAAGGCCTTACAGGGAGGGGGACTTTCAGGTATCTTACCAGAGGCAATGAATGCTTCGATGGTGTCTAGAAAGGCCAGGAGGCCTGAGGGGAGGATCTCCCAGCCGTAGGACTGACACCCCAGGCGTCGCTCTGAGTCCTGGTCTGGTCTTGGGTGCTAGGGCCAAAACAAATGGACCGACATTTCCCTGCCCGCCGCTTCCTCCTCCAGGAGTGTATCGCCCTACGAGCACCGGCCCGGAATGCACTGTGCTGTTATAAATCCCCCGCTGTCATATTACCCATGTCCGAACCTTAGGTAAGTCTGGCGCACATAGGAAAATGCATATGCACAGTGGAGGTTCCCTTGGCACCTTGAGGAACCGATTGGGGTGGGGGTGGAGGGGGACGAGAGGAGGGTGGATTAGTTTGGGTGGAAACTGTCCGCTGCGGTGCACTGACTGAAAGATGCCACCAGGGGGTGCTAGTGCCATGGGGAAGTCAAAACAGGCAAGGAAATGGAGGACCCCATGAGGGCTGGGAGGCTGGCATTGAGGGGTTACAAATTGGCAGTGGGACTTAGAGTCAAGAGACCAGAGCGTTAAGTTCCAGACTTGAAATAGAGGGTAAGAAATCAATGTTAGGGCCTGGGTATTGGAAATCAAGAATTTGACCACCGAACCTGAGGTCAATGTTGGAACCTAGGATCAGTATTAGGGGGCCAAACGTTGGGATAAGGTTAGTATTGAGAATTGGAATCAGACGGATGAGGGTCCAAAAGGGCTGGCTCATCTCTCCCCACAGGTGGGATACAAGTCACTTTAAGAAGACCGGTGGCCCCCAGAGAAACAACTATGTTGTCCACCCTGAGTTTGTGTCTGAGACTTACCCTGACTACTGCTGCTGGTAGAGCTGGAGCCAGGCCGAGGGGGCTGAGCAATAAACTTTTTCACCCCATAGGCTGCCTCCTGTGTCCTCACCCAGCAAGATCTGGCAGTGAGGAACCAGTCACTCAGGCATCTGCCAAACTCCCTAAACTGAGATGTAGTTTCTCAAAGTCAACCTGCCTTGAGTCCTCCCCACTCCCATCATTTCAGTGTTTCCCTTAGGTGGCCCTGAGTGCCCTATATCCATGTCCACAGGGTCTTCCTCCCCTCCACCCCAGATCCACCCATGACCCAAACTAATGGGTCCACCTAGTCATGCAGGAAGGGCCCTCCCGCTTAACATTACTCTAATATCTCCCAAACGTAGATGCTCCTCACCCCAGGATCTCAGTAGACCCAGAATCCTCCATTCTACAGTCAGAGCCCTGTCCCTATACCCACAGCTCTTGATCTCTACTCCAGGAGTCTCCCTCACAGCCCCTCAAAAGCCTATGTTCAGATACTTTGCTACCCTCCCCCACCCAAGTCAAGGGGTCCAAAACAATTTTGGAGGGTTTCACGACCAAAAAATTTCCAATTACAAAACAAAGCCCTGCTTCTATGTCCCTCAGGGAGCAAGGGGTGGGGTGTTCGGGAATATCTGGGGTCTTCAGTATTTTTGCACCCCACTCCTCCCCAGGGCTTGGGTATGGCGGGACACGTCCACTTCCACTTCCTCAAAGCACAGGAATTTCCAACGGTTGTCACTAAGGGGTGAGGGGATGCTGCAAAATACCCAGAGGAAGCCAGTTTTCTAGGTTCCTGACCTCAGGGGCTGCTGGTCTGGACTGGTGAAAACTGACAGCTTGGGCCTCCCTGCTGGGGAAACCAAGATCCCTCCCTAGGGTCATTGATTGGATCCGCCTTATATTGAGCCACTGAGATTCTCCCAAATTCCGTTACCCTTTTTCCATATGGGAGAGCTAGTAAAATCTTTATACAAAGACGGACAGCCTCCACTTGCCCAAATCTGGAGGGGAAGGAATCCCAAGAGCCAGCCCTGCCCCTTTATCCTGCCGCTCGCTCCTTCTCCTACACATCCCAAATTTAGCCTGGAGGTGCAAGAACCCTAACATTCTGCAGTTGCTCCTTCCTCCAAAACTACATTTCCCAGCAGTTCCGGAGAAGAGCCCCGCCCGCAAGCGGGTAAGCAACGCCCCAGTGGGGGCGGAGCCAGGAGGCTCCGGGCTTGCTGTTGCCCGGAGATGCCCGGAGCTGAGCACAGAGCAGTAGGAGGAAGGTGGGTACCTAGAAGCAGGGCCTCAAGTCCCGGTGACAATGTGGGAGGAGGGGTCTGGCCCCAGGGGCAGGGCTGGACTCCGAGGCCCTGCGCGAGACCAAAAGACCGGGGCGTGGCCAGACAGCCAGAGGGTGGGGCCTCAGCTGTCCCCAACTAGACAGCGCTCCGCGCTGCGCTTGGCAGCTCTACTCTGGCTAGCGTGGAGATCTGCAGGAGCCTACCTTCACCCCTACTTTGGGGTCACTGGGTGAGTGAGCCCAGGGGGAGGGCCTTGGAGGGTTTCTGAGGAAGCACGCTTCCTTAACTTTCGTTCCTACTGCTGAGTGGGTTGGGAGAGCCTGGACACCTGAGTCGCTGTGGTTTCCAGGGGGAAACAGGCCCCTTGACCTCAGTCTGTCCCTTCGGACTTTGCAGCTGTTGGGCGGGTCACTGGGGGTGGGTGTATTCCAGGCTGAAGGCGCAGTCACTAGATTCCCCCGGATCCCGTCGCTGAGCAGGGAAATGGACTGGATCGAGTTGCCTTTGACATTTCCACACATTCCCCTGGGAACTGTGTTCGACAAACGACTCAGCTTCTAATGGCCTCCCTTCAATTGGGCCGGTCCGTGACCTCCTCCTCATACCTGCCTAGGGGCTGGCAGCCAAGATTGAGGTTGACCCTAGCCAAGTGGGGAGAGGCTTGGCTAGGGCCAACCCCACCTGCCGGCATCAGCCTGTGGTTAGTCTGACGGCGGAGGCGGCAGATTACAGGAGTTTGTAGCGCCAATATTAACACCGGAACCACTATTCTTCCCCCATAACCCAGGTACCAGATGCTATTAAAATTGCCCCTTTCTCACCTTCAGAAATCCTTCCTGGAGCAAGCAGCAGGGCCAGCCCATGGAAAAACATGCCCACACCTACATGATGGAAGTCTGATCCAGCCTCTTGACCACAAAGCTCCTTTTCTCTTCTGCATTCAGACAGCCTGTCAGACCATTATCTCCCATCTCCTAAAGCTTAGGTTGTGGAGGATTAAGTTGGCTTTTTGGATTCAGGTACTCTTGCTACTTCGGTTACTTCAAACAAGTTCCTTGTTGTGATTGGGCCACTGTTTCTTCATCTGTACAATGGGCACTATTGCTATGCCTCTTTTTCAGCATTATTGTTATGGTGGATGCAGCGGTGGCATTTGGGAGACCAGATCAGGGCCTGCATGGTGTGGGTGCTCAGGCCTGTGGGCTCCTGTCCCTCTTCAAAGAACCTCCGAATCCTAGAAAGTTAAGATTCTCAGAAATTAAGCTGGAAAAAGCTTCTGAGGTCACCTTGGTGGCCTCTCCATGCCTCTAGGGGTCATGAGATGGTCTGATTTGATATGAAAGTCTTGAGAATGAGGAGGTCCTATTCAGCTATAAACTTTTCCTCCTTATTCTGTTAATGCCCAGAATGGGGCCTTGGTTGTCTTGAATGAATGAATATAAATGTACAGCAGCTCTGGCCTGGGCCACCTAAGACCTACTTTGGATTCTGTTTAGCTTGAGGGCATCAGCTAAAGATTACTGCCTGTATTTCTCCTCAGACCTTTTTTAACCTGTACCTACAGGAAGGGGGGAGGTCATACTTGGGTGGGGAGTTTGAAAGCTATGTGGGCTGATAGGAAGGCAGTAAGAGGCTGTTCCAAACCAGCCAGACCACACAGCTTAGGGAATGGGGGCAGAGAGCACAGAAAATGAGGCCTTGAAATAGCACTTTGGGGAGGGGCAGTGTGGGGAGCTGAATATTGACATCTGGGATCAAAATTCTGATCTGCACCTGGTATTCTTGATAGTCTGTCTCTTCATGGGAGAGGTGGGCAAGGTAAAGATCCTGAACAGTTCTGGCATCTCCTGGGAAGTCGTGGTTGACTTAGAAACAGACACTGGCATCTGGGAGGAGACTAATTATTGTTTGCCAGTTTCCTTCTCTCCTTCCCCCTAGCTGGTGCAGCTGGCAGGCTGGCAGTGTGTATGTCTGTGTATGCACCTGGCTAGGGCTATTTCTTTGTTGGACTCTGCCCTTAGGGCTAAATCAGGAAGGGTCAGTGGCCTTGAGTGGCAGATTTTGAGATATACCTCCCCCATATGTTTTCCAGTCAAATCTGGATGTTTAGCATACAGTGTGTGAGAGTATATGAGTGTAGAGGCAGGGTGGGGGGCGGGGGGAGCGGCATCTGATCCATGGAGAGCTGGTAGGTTGGGGAGAGATTTAGGTGAAATCTCCTAAAGCAGGTGGCCTGAAGAGGATTTATGTTGGGGAAGAAATTAGGATAGGTCTGGCCAGACATGGAATCAGAAAGGCAGATGAGACCACCTCATGCTTTGAGCCTCAATTGCAAAGCTTACACTTCTGACTTCATCATTGGGGTCATGAGAAGCTCTCTAAACTAGGAAGAGATGTGGTCTGATAAGCTCTTTTTTTTATTATTTAATCCTCACCTGAGGACATGCTTTTATTGATTTTAGAAAGAGGAGGGAAAAGGGAAAGAGAAACATCGATGTGAGAATGAAACATCAATCAGTTGCCTCCTGCACATGCCCCGACTGTGGAATCAAACCCAAAACCTAGGTATGTGCTCTGACTGGGAATCCAACCCACAGCCTTCCAGTACATTGGACAACACTCCAACCAACTGAGCCACACCAGCCATGGCCTGATAATTTCTTTAGAAGGATCACCATGATTGCTATAAACAGAAGGTATTGGGGGAGAGGGTGAAGACAGGGAGGTCTGTAAGGGAAGTGTTGCAATAATACAGGGGAGAAGAGACAGTGTCCAAAACTAGGGCAGAGGCAGCAGGACAGTGGGTGAGTGACAGAGACAAAGCCAGGTGGTAGCTGACCCATAGATGTGGTGCTGGGAGCAGAAAGGTGGGCAGGGAAATGGATTGGTGAACAATGGCTGAAAGCAAGGTGGAATTTGAAGACAAAGATGGGGAGATCTGAGAAGCCAGCCACCATGGCCCCCGAACCAGGCTTCTAACCCCAGCCCTAATGTCTGAATCCAACCCTGCCTCCCCCAAAACCAAGCCCTAGGACTGATCTAATCTCCAGATTTAATCTGGCTTCTGATTAAATTCCATGCCTGAGTTGTTTCTCCTTGCTCTCTCCTCTCTCCTTCTGGGGACAAGAGAAGTCATCCTATTGCCCTATGAAAGGTCTCAAGGTGCCCGGCAGTGTGGCTCAGTAGATTGAGCATCGTCCCATGAACTGAGAGGTCCTGGTTCAGTTCTGGGTCAGGACACATGCCCTAGTTGTGAGCTCCATTCCCAGTAGGGGGTGTGCAGGAGGCAGCCAATCGACGTTTATCTCTCATATCAGTGTTTCTATCTCTATGTCTCTTAAAAATGGGGAAGGGGCTCAAAGAGCTAACTGAATTATGCCTCCCCTCTCCGACGATGACCACATCTCTGGGAAACCAGGCCTCTCTCCAGATCCCTCCCCTTGTCTTCAGCTTGAAATGCCTGGCCCCCCATGTGTGATCCCAGGAGGTCTGATATTTTGTGATCTGGATAGCTCCCTGACCCTGTCTGGGTTTGTTTCTTCCCTACAAAAATGGGATGCATGCCATCTGCCTCTCCCCATTTAGAGTTCTGTTTAACTTCAGCAAGCATTAGGGCCCTTGAGAAAGGGTAAGACACAGATTGTCCTCGTAAGTCTCACCTTTGCCATTTCTAAAACCTGTATGTCCCAGAATACACCTCCCAAAGTATACACCTTTCTTGCTGAAGCAAATGGAAATACTGAGGAATGAGAAGGTCAGTTTTGCCTCTCTCTTCCCTTTCCAGACTCTGGCAGGCCAGGCTCAGATGATCTTTGTCAGGTGTCCCCACTGCCGGTTCCTTCCTTAACTGAGGGCTGATGCCCCAAAATCCTCCGGAGAAGAGCCAGGCCTACCCCCGCCAACGCCCTGGGCGCGACACAGGCTGTAAGATCCCCGAGGCTGCCTCAGCCACAGCCATGTACACCTTCCTGCCTGACAACTTCTCACCTGTCAAGCCCAAGCCATCAAAAGAGGTGAAGCCGCTGCTGGGCTCAGCAATGCTGGGGTTGCTGCTGGTGTTGGCCGCAGTGGTTGCCTGGTGCTACTACAGCGCCTCTCTACGCAAGGCAGAACGGCTGCGGGCAGAGCTGCTGGACCTCAACCTTGGAGGTTTCTCCATCCGTAACCAGAAGGGTGAGTTGGTCTTCAGCCTGGCCTTCCGCTCTGGTGCACTGGACCTCGACTCCTGCAGCCGCGATGGTGCCCTGCTGGGCTGCTCTCGCACCGCAGATGGGCGTCCTCTACACTTCTTCATCCAGACTGTGCGACCCAAGGACACAGTCATGTGCTACCGCGTGCGCTGGGAGGAGGCGGCGCCAGGGCGTGCAGTGGAGCATGCCATGTTTCTGGGAGACGAGGCGTCGCACTGGTATGGCGGTGCTGAAATGAGGACCCAGCATTGGCCCATCCGGCTGCAAGGCCAGCAGGAGCCGCAGCCCTTCGTCACCAGCGACGTCTATTCCTCCGATGCAGCATTCGGAGGCATCCTCGAGCGCTACTGGCTGTCATCGCGCGCAGCTGCCATCAAGGTCAACGACTCGGTGCCCTTCCACCTGGGCTGGAACAGTACAGAGCGCTCTCTGAGGCTACAGGCACGCTACAACAATACGCCCTTCAAGCCATCAGCCGGCCTTGCCGCTGCTCCAGAGCTCAGCTACCGCGTGTGTGTTGGCTCAGATGTTACCTCCATCCACAAGTACATGGTACGGCGCTATTTCAACAAGCCGTCGAGGGTACCAGCACCAGAGACCTTCCGAGACCCCATCTGGTCCACGTGGGTGCTGTACGGGCGCGCGGTGGACCAGGACAAGGTGCAGCGTTTTGCCCAGCAGATTCGACAGCACCACTTCAACAGCAGCCACCTGGAAATCGATGACATGTACACACCTGCTTATGGTGACTTCGATTTCGACGAGGTCAAGTTCCCCAACGCCAGTGACATGTTCCGCCGCCTGCGCGACGCTGGATTTCAAGTCACCCTCTGGGTACACCCATTTGTCAACTACAATTCATCATCGTTTGGAGAGGGCGTGGAGCGAGAGCTGTTCGTGCGTGAACCCACCGGCCGGCTGCCAGCGCTAGTGCGCTGGTGGAATGGCATCGGAGCAGTGCTGGACTTTACGCGCCCCGAGGCCCGTGATTGGTTCCAGGGGCACCTGCGGCAGTTGCGCTCGCGCTATGAGGTGGCCTCCTTTAAGTTCGACGCGGGTGAGGTCAGTTACTTGCCGCAGGACTTTAGCACCTACAGGTCGCTGCCAGACCCCAACATATGGAGCCGGCGGTACACTGAGATGGCGCTTCCCTTCTTCTCATTGGCTGAGGTCCGCGTGGGCTACCAGTCACAGAACATCTCATGCTTCTTCCGGCTGGTGGACCGTGACTCTGTGTGGGGCTATGACCTGGGGCTGCGCTCGCTCATCCCCGCCGTGCTCACCGTCAGCATGCTGGGCTACCCGTTCATTCTGCCGGATATGGTGGGTGGCAACGTGGTGCCTGAGCGCACAGCGGGTGGCGGCAATGTGCCAGAGCGCGAGCTCTATGTGCGCTGGCTGGAGGTGGCCGCTTTCATGCCCGCTATGCAATTTTCAGTCCCGCCCTGGCAATACGACGCTGAAGTGGTGGCCATCGCGCACAAGTTCGCAGCACTAAGGGCCTCGCTTGTGGCACCGCTATTGCTTGAGCTGGCTGGTGAGGTCACTGACACTGGCGACCCCATCGTGCGCCCCCTCTGGTGGATCGCTCCGGGCGATGAGACAGCCCACCGCATCGACTCGCAGTTCCTCATTGGGGACACACTGCTGGTGGCGCCAGTATTGGAGCCAGGCAAGCAGGAACGTGATGTCTACCTGCCCGCGGGCAAGTGGCGCAGCTATAAGGGTGAGCTTTTTGACAAGACCCCAGTGCTGCTCACAGATTATCCCGTTGACCTGGACGAGGTAGCCTACTTCATCTGGGCATCCTGACCCAGCCCAGGACCCGGCAACCCCACAGCTCTAACCCCAATCTTTATGCAGGCCTTTTACCCTCAGTCACAACCACCCCCTAAATCCCTAGGAAGTCCCTACCTCTGTACCACCCGCTAAGTGGGTGCTAACATAAATATGCTCCACTCAACTCCTGTAGGGCCAGAAAAGGAGGCATTGAAGCAACCTCCCACTCCTATGCACAGTCCTAACAGCCCCCTTCCCTCCACACTCAACCCTGTCTGCAGAAACCTTTTCCCTGGGGTGGGGGTGAGTGAGCTCAGAGGGAAAAGGTCAGTTCCTGTTACACATGGTTGGATTTTAAAAGCACAAAGAGAAACCTCACTCTCCATTCTGGCCTGAGTGGCCATCTTGTCCTTCTGAAGTGGGGACTTGATCCTCTTTCAGGTCCCAAAATAGCCCCCTGCCACACTTAGAAAGGGTACATTCTTGGAATTGGAAGCCAGGCCTTAAGTTCTCAGTACTGGCCTGAACTATGACTGACCTGGTTCCACCCCAGCTGGTGAGAAGAGACGGGGGTACTTGGTCAACTGACAAGGAGGCCAGATGTCCCCTCCCAGAAGACAGAAGGACTTGGTTCAGCATGGTGCCATCATCATCGTCCCTCATTTGTGAAGAAACTCCTAACACTACACTAACCCATCTGTGTGCAAAAATGCACTCAGCACTGCCTGATGGGCAAAAACTTGCAAGACCATTCAGTCTAGACTTGGTGCCTTAACCCAAGAATGTGTGTGTGTGTGTGTGTGTGTGTGTGTGTGTGAGAGAGAGAGAGAGAGAGAGAGAGAGAGAGAGGGAGGAGGGGGGATCATGTGTCCCTGGATCTATAGAATGAGCACAACATGCCTGAGACTAGATAAGCCTGAGAGGGAGGGGCCAGGAAGCAAATTTGAGGTTTTGATTGTTGAGTTGGCCTCCTCCCAGGTGATGTCCCTGGGACTCTGGTAGAAAATAAACAACTCCTTCAAGATTTCTCAGCTGCCTCACTCCCTGCACATGTGGCAGGGGTGTGGCCTAAAAGGGAGCCATATTCTTATTCTGGTGATGGTGGGCTTCAGCACATGAACTACATGTGTACATCTCTGCCTGCAAATACACATACAGGGTAAGGTCTTTTTTTTTTTTTTAATCCTCATCCGAGGACATTTTTCCATTTTTTGTACAGACAGTGTGGGAGGGAGAGAGAGGAAGAGAGAGAGAGGGAAACATCGATGTGAAAGGGACACATCGAGTGGCTGCCACCCGCACGACCAACCAGGGCCGGGGACAAACTGCAACCAAGGTACATGCCCTTAGCGGGAACCGAACCCGGGTCTCTCCGGACCGCAGGCGGACACTCTAACCGCTGAGCCAAACCGGCCAGGGCCAGGGTAAGGTCTTTAATTTCAGCCATTTTTCCTTTCTAAGAAGAACAATCTCAGCCAGAGCCTTTTTCTCCTGACTTTACAGCTTAGTCTGGAGAAGAAGTGGCTTGCCAGAGCTGGGAGGTGGGAAACAGGGGAGGGCTCAGCCTCCTTCCACAGCTTGGACAGCAGAACCAGTCCCTCAGCCCGAGAGAATGCATCTCTTTACCCACCCTGCACCTCCTCTATTTTCTCAGTGTGAAGAATGCCTAATGAAAATTTAAGGGCACTCACAGATGCCCAACTTCAGTGCTGTTTCTACCACTCATCAACAAGCTGTGTGACCTTGAGCAAGCTGCTTAACCTCCCTGAGCCTCAGTTTCTTCATATGTAAAATGGTGATAATAATGCCTACCTCCCAGGTTGTTGTGGGAATTATAAGCACAGATGTATGTAAAGTGCCTGGCACAATTAGGTGCTCAATAAAGGTAGCTATTATAATACTATTTCTTGTTTACTTGCTTAAAAATGACAAAAATTTTTCCCAGCCCAACTACTTTCCTCTGGGCTGGCATGTGACATGCTCTTCCCAACCTCTGCATATAGCACCCATTGAGGTCTGAGTTTATAATCCAAAGGACACTGTGGTCCAGGAGTAAGGCAAGAGAAGAGATATCTGAAGGTAGAATGTTGGGAGATAGGATTCCAGAGTCCCCAGAAGATAAGTGGAATTAGCTTCCACCTCCTTTTTATCAGGAGCATATATCAATCAGTACTCAATAATGAGCCTCTCTAGACCCTGGTACCCAGACATGTGCTATGGAATGACTGTAGACTCAAGCTGGGTCGTAGAAAGTTCCCTGCATGGCTAGAGAGTATGACTACAGCTTGAATGGCCCTTCAGCTTTCTATGCCAGTAAACTGAAGCCAGTTTACCCAACCTCTCAGGCCTTCATTTCTTCATTTTTTTTTTTAATCCTCACCTGAGGACACTTTTGTATCCATCTTCAGATAGAGCAGGAGGGAGAGGGGGAAAGAGAGAGAACCATCGATGTGAGAGAGACACATCGACTGGCCGCCACCCACATGACCCCAACCAGGGCCGGGGACAAACTGCAACCAAGGTACATGCCCTTTCGGGAACCGAACCCGGGACTCTCTGGTCCGCGGGCCAATGCTCTAACTGCTGAGCCAAACCAGGCAGGGCCATTTCTTCATTTTTTTAAAAAAATGAAATTTGTAGGATTCATTGAGATATGTATATAAAGCACTTATGCAAAAATTGGCAGAGTAAATAATGAATGGTAGCTTCTGTCAATTCTTAATTAAAAATGAACAAAGAAAATGCTGCCTAGAACCTGTGCTGTCCAATATGGTAGCCACTAGCCACATGTGCCATCTTAAATTTAATTTTCAAATTAATTAAAATTAAACATAATTAAAAACCCAGTTCTTTGGGCATACTAGTCATATGTAAAGTGTTCAAAAGCCATGTGTGACTAGGGGCTAACATATTGGACAGTGCAGATTATAGAACATTTCCATAGTTGCAGAAAGTTCTATTAGAGAGTCAAAGACCAAGCAGTGTATACTGTCTGAAATGGAATAGGAAGAGATAAAGTAATCTGTAAGGCCTAAGTAATCTGGCAGAGAGGAGGAGAGTACCCTTTAGAAGGGCATTAAGGGCAGACAGCAGTATTTTACAGCCTAGATGGGGGAGGGGCACATCATGCCCACCAAGCACTCACTGGGGGTTAAGAGGTGGGGAGGAAAGCATGCCCTTGTTTGGCCAATTTCTAGAAAACTGAACCTTGGCTTGTGATTTGGTTTCTAGTCTGGCTTCTGCTGTTGGCCTGGTTATTCACAAAAGCACAGATAAGCAAACAAGCACTAAGAGAGGAAGGTATTGGCCTGAAGTCACACAGGAAATTAGTAACCAACACTACTGGAACCTGGTGCTCTGTATCCAGATGCCTAGAACCTCCCACCCATCATTCGCTCACCTGCCAACAGCATGGCTCAGCCCTGGCCTGTATACCCCCAAAGATGGAGAGCCAGCTGAAATGTGTATATCTGAAGGTGTCACCCAGCAGGCCTGATTCTAGGCCAAGAAGTGTTTTCCCTTCCTTCATTGACATCATAAAAGAGAAATTCAAGCCCGGCTGGTGGCTCAGTGGTTGAGCATTGACCCATGCACCAAGAGGTCGCCAGTTCGATTCTCTGTCAGGCACATGCCCAGGTTGTGGGCCTGATCCCCAGTGAGGAACATGCAAGAGGCAGCCAATCAATGTTTCTGTCTCTCTCTCCCTCTCCCTTCCTCTCTCTCTACAAAAATCAATAAAGAAGAAAAAATTAAAAAAGAGAGAGAGAGACAGTCAAGAAGTTGAGGTAGGGGTTGGAGCTGGAATGGCAGAAACTATGAGAAAGAGCTGACCCTTGGAGACAGGAGGAGAGGAGAGAACTGGGCTGGAAGCTACCTCTACCCCTATTCTACAGGATGCCCGGAACTCTGGCCCCTTCCAGCCTTGTTCAGCCCCCCATTCCTGCCAACACCTCTGTGCATTCAAAATTTCTCCCTCTCTGCACATCTGCATTGGTGTGAGGGCTGCCACTCCTCCATGGAGATTTCAGCAGACTTTTAGTGACCAGAATTCCTCAATGGTTTCCCCTTTACCCTTGGGCTGGTGTGAGGCAGGGCTGGGCTGATACAAAGGAACAGGAACTCCCTTCTCCAGAAATAATGGTGAAGAACTGAGTGGCCACTGCAGGATATCTAAGGCTGGGACTAATGTCTTCATTCTGTGACCCTAAGAAACTCCGAGAGTCTCTCTCAGTTTCCCTTACAATACCATATGAATCAGGTGAACCCTGGCCAAGCCCTTTCTCTAAGACCAAGATGTAAATTTTCTGCAAGGGTCTTTGTGCTTGTTCCTCCAGATTTAGGTAAAATGTCTCTCACCCTGGCTGGCTCCAGAACAAATCTTCTGCTAGTTCCCCACACTGAGCTTTTTGGTACCTTTAACCCTCCTCAAGCCCAAGGCCAATATTGACCTGGTCACTATCCCACGTCAGACCTTATGAATTCTAGCCTATACCACTGCAATGGACTCCTCTTTCTGCTCTTTGACCTTTCAATCCAATCCACATAGTATCCAAGGAAATCTTTTTGTAATTTAACTATATTGCTTAGAAAATAAATCACACTTTGGTGTTCAAGGCCTCTAAGATCTGAATCCTCCTTGCACCTCTGTTTCTGTTTTACTCACACACACATATACATATGAACACATTTTGAAAAGCACTTGAAGAAATACTACCTTCTGTTTTGAGAAGAGCTCCACAGCCCATCCCAGCAAGGGGTGGTTTACATAGACCCAGCTTTAAAGAAAACCGCAGTGGCAACTGGGTGATTTCCTTTCTTTTTTTCTCTCTCTTTTTTAAAATTTCCTTTCCTGCCATTGTCTGACTTAGTGGGACTTCTGCTGACACCCTTCCCTCCTGGCACACCCCAGCTCCCAAGGAACAACCTGTTTTTTGTCTTAAGGCTAGTCATTTACTTCACTATGCCCAAGAACCTTTCCAGCAGCTTGAATGGAGGAGAGAATACTTTCTCTTTTTCAATATACTTCACCATTTCAATAGAATATAGGGGAAAACTGAGGATAACCTCCTCTTTTTTTTTTTTTTTTTTTAAATTGAGCTATCATTGACACACCATTGTATTAGTTGCAGGTATACAATGTAATGATTCAATATTTGTGTATATTATATTCCTACAATAAGTCCAACATTTGTCACCACACGTAGTTACAAAAAAAACCTTTTTTCTTATATTGAGAACATTCAAGATCCATTCTTCTAGCTACTTTCAAATATGCAATACAGTATTATTAACTATAGTCACCAAGCTGTACATTACACCCCTATGTCTTATTCACTTTATAACTGGAAGTTTATGCTTTCTGACCCCCTTCACCCATTAAGGGAGGGGATAATTCCTGGCCTTGCATGGCAAGCCCTGAGTTTGGCTGGGAGTGAGGTTGGGGGAGGAATGGGAAGGAAGAGAGTGAGGCCCTGTCCCTGGGAGTTCCCAGTATGAAGAACAGGAAGAGGTTGTGCCTCTGTATTTTGTATCACTGTGCTGTTTTTCCCTCTCTAGCTCCCTTTTCCCTCCTGGGAGAGCCTAGTTAGGAATTTCCTATTACACAATCCTGAGCAGGAGGTGAAGTGGGAGGGGAAAGGAAGCAAAGCAGGGCAGGTTGGGAGGAAGGGAGAGAGCAGCTCTCTCTGGGCACCTATAGCACAGCGTCAAGGTAGCAGCAGCCTGACTGGTGTGGCCCTCCTCTACAAAAGAAATAGGTTGAGTCACAGGCTGGACCTATGGAGAAGTCAGCCTCTGCTTTCCAAATGTGGGGGACCCAGCTTGGGTCCCATATTCATACAAGTATTTCGATTGAAATTCTACCATTAAAACGACCATTATCACTTCATTCTTTAGGGTCTTCAATTCAGCAAACAAGTGCCTACTGTGGGGGTATAAGGTTTTGCTTTTGGGGATCAAGAGGGCATTTTGGTTTTCCAGAGCCTCTGTTAAATTCCCCTAAAAGTGGGCAACTTAAGATCACCCTAGTGAGGATAAGTCCATTAGATGCTTCTACACGCTGGGGTGGTGGAAGCAGCAGTGGGAAGAACAGGTAGAATTCCAAGAGGAGCCTCTTCGGGTGCAGGTGGGGAAACAGGATGTTATTTATAGGATGGGTGGTTATTAGGACAAGTTTCCAGAAGGAGATACTCTGGAGCTTGGAGGGCCTCAGATTGAAGGAAATTGTGGCCTCAGCCCCACAGCTCTTTTTTTTTTTCTTTATTGATTTTAGAGAAAGAAGAAGGGAGAGGGAGAGATAGAAACATCGATGAGAGAACATCGTTTGGCTGCCTCCTGCATGGCCCTCACTGGGGATTTCGCCCACAACCTGGGCATGTGCCCTGACTGGGAATCAAACTAGTGACCTCTTGGTGCATGGGTCGACACTCAACCACTGAGCCACACCGGCCGGGCCCACAGCTCTTGAACTAGCTCAGCTGGCCAGAAGCAAAGTGGTGATGATGACAAAGTCCACTCCCCTGCTACATCCCAGTCTCCGTTCCTCTCTCCCACCCTTATATACCTCCCATAATGTGCCCAGTCCCATCCTGCTGTTAATTCTTCCTGCAAAGCGAGCAACTGAACACAATTAATGGCCTCCCCCTTCTCCAAAGTACCCGTTTAGAGTACTTTAGAGTACTCCAAAGTAGAGTTTAATGGAAAACTCTGTGTAGCCCAGAGGAATGACCCCAAAACTACATATGATATTATAAAGCAGAGTTTTTTCTCTGGCATGCCACCCTCAAAGCATCCCTTCTTAAGCCTCAGTTTTCCCAATTATAAAAACAAGCAGCAAAATCAGGTCATTTTCAGGTCCCTTCCAACTCTGATATATGAGGTCTTAGCATCTTGAGATTCCACAGCCTTCCATGCTGGGAGCACAGGGCTGGCCAGCCCTTGTTAGGAAGCAGCTAGTCTGTGGTTTGGCACCACTGCCCAGCAGGCATTTATTAAATCAATGGGATGTGGTCCCTGCTGGCCAAGAAAGAGAACATTAAGCTCCAAAAACTTCCTGCAGCAGGCCTCCTTCAGAGTGCTGTTCAGAGGGGTAAGGAACAAAACCATTCAGGTCCCTGGCAGTGCTCCAAGATGCTGTTCGCTAGTACTTTTGTCCTGTCTGCATGGAGAACCAGTGACTGAAAACATCTGGAAGCCTGCTTAAGACCTGGATGACTTCTCTCTTCTTCCCCTAGAGGTGGCAGTTCTTGCCCCTGGTAATCTGGGTTGACCTTTGCCAATGACCCTTCCCATCTAATCTTCTGCACGTCACTGGGCCACAACCCTCTAATAAAATCCACATGAATCCAGCTGCTAACAGCTCATGGAAGGGCTATAGGATCTAACACCTGCCCTGCATTCCTTGAGCCCTAGTAGCAAGGCAAAGGGGGGCTGAGACCCAACTCTTGCACTTCTGAGTCTCACAGTTGAGTTGTGAAGAAAAGGAGTAGGTGAGAAGAGAGAAAAACCAATGATGAGGAATTGCTAAAGGTGGAGAAGGCAGCTGCAGGCAAGAAGTGCATGTGTGTAGCAACAGGGCTACTGGGTGGCACAGCAGAGCCCCTCAGGTCTGAGCGGCACAGCAGAGCCCTTCAGACCTGGGCATGCCTCTTGCCAGTGACCTCAGTCATGCAGACAAGGCCCATGCTGACTCTGGGAAGCAGGACTGGGCCAAGAGGTTGGAGTACATGTGTCACTGATGTGGTGGTCCAGGGTTGCCTGTCCCTCTTCTCCCTGCTGTGATCTGGGCTATGTCCCAAAGTTCCTTGGGTCTCTATTTTAGAAAAAAGTTATTGAGCACCTAAAACATATATGCCTGGTGCTGGGAGATATACATTAGTGAGCCAAACACACCCCTTCCTGTGCTCCAGTTCCACTCACTTGCATATTCCATCTGACTACAGGTAGAAAAGTCTCAGTGGGAGTGGGGTGAGAGTGCTTGGAGTTCCAGAGGCAAGAAAGGCCCCCTCCCTTAGCTTCTCCGGGGTACAGTGCATGGACACAGGATTCCCTCTGGCTAAGGTCAGAGCTCCGATTCACTTTAGTGTTCTTCTCCCACCAAGGGCAAGAGTCCAAGAAATAAATACAACCCTGGCTGGTTTGGCTCATCAGTTAGAGCCTCAGCCTGTGGACCAGAGAGTCTCAAGCTCGGTTCCTGCTAAGGGCATGTACCTTGTTTGTACCTGGCCCCAGATGTGGTTGTATGGGTGGCAACCACTTGATGCGTCTCTCTCCTGTTGATGTTTCTCTCTCTCTCTCTCTCTTCCTCCCTTCTGCTTTATCTGAAGATAAATGCAAAAATGTCCTCGGGTGAGAATAAAAAAAAAAAAAAAAAGAAAGGAAGAAATACAACAGGTTAAAGGACAGATAAGCTGCTTGAGGTTTATTAAGTAAAAGGATGTACTTCTTTTTAACTCCTCCTTTGCCTTCCTTTCCACCCAGCTAAGATTTTTGCTTGTTCTCTGGGAGTCCTCAGCTGATTTTACTAACCTATCTGCTCTTTGCTATGATTAACCAAAGACCAGCACAACCAGCCCCAGAGCTGAAGATGGGTTCATGTCAGAAGGCCCTCAGGATCCTACTGAGGTGAATGACTCTGTTTCAGTCAGCTCAGACCACTGTGGAGCAGATAAAATGGTGTCCTTCTTGGAGCACTGCCTTCATTTCCTTGAACTGAGCCAACTGGCAGGCCTCATCCAGCCCCAGCCAGCGGTAAGCTTGGTGCTCGTGGGAGAGGCGGATCTCCACGTCATGGTCCTTCACTTCTGCCAGCCAGTAGATGACTGTTTTAGGCTTTTCCCTGGCCACATAATTGAGCTCCCTTCTGAACCCCTCAATGATGGTCAGCTGGCTTGCTTTTAGGCCTGCTTCCTCCTGAGTCTCCCGTAGGGCTGTTTCCAATTCATTTTCTCCTGGTTCTACATGACCTGGTTAGGAGAAAAGAGAAAAAGGGAGATAATCTTCAAAAAAGCTGGATTTTCCAGGTTGGATGGTTTAAAGATGGATCTTTGGTGACTTTTCTAGCTGTTGCTAGGCTAAAGGGGAGCCTAGAGATTGGTAATATCCTAACATGCCTAGGAGTGGGGTACAGGGCAGGTAGTGTCTGGCTCTGCGGTGTCTGGGAAACCCCTCCTCCCTACCCCATCTTCTCTGCAGAGAGTGAAACAGACCATGTGTTTGGCAAGTCTGATCTAGAATACTGCTCCAATGATGGTGAGAAAGATGGCCTCCCTTAGACCTCTGCTTTCTTATTCTTTAGAAGCCCTCCTCATCCCATATTCTCAGGGAGACCTTTCCCTTGGAGACCTTATAGTGATTTTCTCAAGAGGAGCAGTCCTTTCTTGGCAGATGGGAGCTAGCTGAGAGTGAGCACTTTGCCTACAATGCTCAGTGAGTTAATACTGTCTGCAGTTGGTCTCTAAAGTCTCAGGCCAACAGACAAGCTCAAAACCATGCACTGAGGCACCAGCAGCTGTTTCCAAGTAGCTATCAAGGCTTTTCCAAATTGTTTTCATCTTTCTAACTGAGCAAGACCAGATTCCAGTTTCATAGGGAAAGTCCTGATGGGAACTGAGACTACGGACAAGCTGAGAAACAGTTCTAAGAAAATTTTTGGCAAGGCCCAAACCCAAGCAGAAAGCTGCCAAGAAACTGTTGTAAGAGAACTTGAAGCTCTGCAGACTGGGAGCAGCCTCTAGGCTCTCCCTGCAAATTCTGTTTGCCCGGAGAAGCCAAGGACTGGGAGGGGTCTGGCAGCCTCTGTCAACACATGACTCCAGCAAGTTGCTGGGGGCCTCCTGGTTCAGGAGCTCATGGGGAACAGGAATTCTTAGCTCTTCCCTTCTCGGTTCAGAGACAGGGCTATATCCTAGCCTTCCTCATTCCTAGTGGTCCTCATAGTACTTCCCTGAGTCAGCTGCTGCTGCACAGTTGACAGAAAGCAACCAGCAGTTTGGACTTAAAAACCGTTCTAGCCCTGGCCAGTTTGGCTCAGCGATCAGAGCATAGGCCTGCGGTCCAGAGAGACCCGGGTTCGGTTCCCGCTAAGGGCATGTACCTCGGTTGCAATTTGTCCCCAGCACTGGTTGGGTTGTGCGGGTGGCAACCACTCAATGTGTCCCTTTCATGTCGATGTTTCTCTCTCTCTCTCCCTCCCACTCTATCTGAACAAAAAACGAAAAAATGTCCTCGGCTGAGGATAAAAAAAAAACTGTTCTAGCCCTGGCCGGTTTGGCTCAGCGGTTAGAGCGTCGGCCTGCGGTCTGGAGAGACCCAGGTTTGGTTCCCGCTAGGGGCGCGTACTTCAATTGCAGTTTGTCCCCGGCCCTGTTCGGTTGTGTGGGTGGCAGCCACTCGATGTGTTCCTTTCACGTCGATGTTTCTCTCTCTCTCTGTTCCTCTCTCTCCCTCCCACTCTACCTGAACAAAAAAAATGGAAAAATGTCCTCGGGTGAGGAAAAAAAAAAAAAAGTTCTAGCTCATGGCTTCCGGAGAATTTTCTCTGTATCGTACCTCATATAGAGCCATACACACAAAGACAGGCAGGTAATGCATTGAAGGACAAAGGTAAGAGGGATGCTGGTGGTGACAGAAGTGACTCTGATCCCAGATGTCTTACCTTCCCTCAGAAGTGTGTGGGAGAGTTTCTAAGCACACCTTCCCAGCATTAGCTATTCAGCATTCTGTCCATCAATGTTAAGAGGGCAACTTCTCCCGCAAGCCCAGGCAGGAAAAAATTCAGATAGATCCTTTGAAATCTTTCAGTATCAGGAGACAAGTGTGACTATTCCTATTCACTGTATTTTTGACACTTCTGTCCCTTTTTCACCTTGTTTTTCCCTAATGAAACTCACATGGGCACATTTTATTTTCTGTTCCTTTTTCCTTGTTTTCCTCTACCCCTGGATCCTTGTTCACCTCCACCTTTCCTACCTCACTCACCCACCCTCCCTTCTGTCTGGGGGCTGTTCACTCTGAGCTCCTGACCTGCAGCCCAGTAATGACTTGACCCCAAGGACCCCAATGCCCAACCTAGTGCCTTCCATCCTTCCCAGACATTCATCACAGAGTTCTGGCGCTGTAGTGAATGACACACACACACACACACACACACACACACACACACACACAAACAGGTGATGCTTCTGTCCTGGGTTTCAGTCACAGAGTTCTATTTCCAGCTCTGCTCTAGCCTAGCATGGAGACCCTGGATACGCAGAAGGGATCAAGGGCTTCAACCTATCTCACACCCTCCTGCTGGACAGTTACTGGAAAGCAAAACTTGTGTGAAGCCTGGCAAGGTGGATTTCTGAGCTACACTTGGCATTTCCTCAAGACCCAGCCCCTCTGGCTACTCTTACCTTTAGGAGGAGTCCAGTGATGAATGCCATCTGACGCCTGCAGCAGTAGAAACTCAATTGCAGTATTGTCCACCTTGGGAATGAGTCGTCTTCGGAAGATGATCAAGCCACAAGCTTTCAGGGCCATGGTCTGTTTGAGAACTTAATAAAGAAGATGAGGAACATTGGGAAGTTACATAAAGCAGGAAGATCCATTGTGGGGTGGGAAGGTAGTACTGTGGTGCTGGAGAGTAGCATAAACCAACAGTGACCTCATCACCTACAGAAAAAGGCAGCATGCCAAGGGTCAATGGGGGAACCCAGGAATCAGAGACTCAGCTTTGTATGTAACTGCAGGACGCTGGTCCCACCCTGTCAGTGTGGCTCTACCTCAAATCGTCCAGATCTCCCTGCTAAAACACAGGGCTGGTGTGTGTGTTGAGACTAGAAATTCTTGACAGCAAATCCACTGAAACTGGAGAGATGCAGGAAATGGGAGAGATGTGGTGCAATATCATTAACAAATCCACAAGCCCATTTTCCCCAGCCTCCAGCCTGAGTCTCTGGATCAAAGAGATGCCAACAATATGCTATCTGATGGCTCAAAGGGGGTCACTTAGGAAAGGTAGTTTGGTGTACACTTTTTTGTCATTGATTTTTTTTAGTCTTTTATCCATGTTTTGGAATGTTATACATCCACATGGTTCAAAATTCAAAGTTCAAAAAGGGCACACAGAAAAAGGTCTCTTTCCCACCCCATCAGAAGCGAACTAGCATAGTGGTTAAGAATGAATCTGGAGCCTGGATTCAAGTTCTGACTCTGCTACTTATTCCTAAGCCTCAGTTTCCTCATTTGTAAAACAGGATAATAACAGTTCTACCTCAAAGGGTTGCTGTGCAGATTACATGACTTAAGTTTTGTAAAGTGCTTTAGAACAGTGCCTGGTATACAAATAAATTGCAATATGCTTAGAAAAATGTCTGGAAAAATACACATCATTAATAGTGTTTTCTGGAAGATGAGATTATGAAAAGACTTTCATTTTCTATTCCACATATTTCTGTATTGTTTGGAAATTTACAGAAAACATGCACTAATTTTATAATCAGCAACAATAAAGATTAAACTTTGTTAGTCTTTTACCATTTCATATGGTCTTTTTTTCCCCTTTTTCAGAAAAATATGTCAAAAACCAAAGACAGGAAGGGAGAAGAACAGAAATATCTGCAGAACTGAAAAAAAAAAAATTACCTTCTGAAGGGGAACATGTAATCAAGGTAACAAAAATATGGAAGATGTTTTATGCAAGGCCCTGCTAAAGAAAACCTTATGTCATTTGGTCATTCAACAAATACTTATTGAGCACCTACTATGTACTAAGTACTGTTGTAGGCCTTTGCCCTCATGTAGTTTATATTCTAGTGGAAGAGGCAGACTTTAATTAAATAATTAAGCAAATTAAAAAATAATTGCCAATAAGGTATGTGCTACAAAAGAAAAATGTATGATGGACAACTTGACCTTGTTTAAGGTATCAAGGAAGGATTCTTGGAAGAAGGGATGTTTGAGCAGAAAAGTAAATGATGAGTAAAAGATAAGGTATGTGCTACAAAAGAAAAATGTATGATGGACAACTTGACCTTGTCTAAGGTATCAAGGAAGGATTCTTGGAAGAAGGGATGTTTGAGCAGAAAAGTAAATGATGAGTAAAAGATAAGTTGGCAAAGGGAAGGAGGAGAGAGACATGCTCCAGGTGGAAGGAGCAGCATGGACAAAGGTCCTGAGGTAGGATGGCAGAACTGAAAGAAAGCTAGGTGTTTCAAATGCAGCAAAGGCCTGGGAGAGTGGCCCATACAAAAGGAGACCTGAATCAGCAGGGCCTCTTCTGCAAGATTCCAAGGCCAAAGAAAGAGCTGGTACTCACAGACAGCAGAGCTAATTGCAGAGACGGCGGCTGAGGTAGGAGCTGAGGGTCTCTATGGCACCCTTTTTGGTGCTCAATCAAGATGAGCCTGCATCTGCCTGGCTGGTGTGGCTCAGGGGATTCAGAGTCATCCTATGGACTGAGGTCCTAGTTCAATTCCCTGTCAGGACACATGCCCAGGTTGCAGGCACGATCTCCAGTAGGGGGCGTGCAGGAGGCAGCCGATTGATGGTTCTCTCTCACATTGGTGTTTCTATCTCTCCCTTCCTCTCTCTCTAAAAAAATCAATTAAAAAATAATTTTATATATATATTTGTTTATTTGTTTATTTATTTATTTAAGATGAGCTTGCATCTATTCAAAGGCATAAAAATCAGACCCAAACTGAAACCTGTTTCGGGGCAATTCTCAGGTCTGCCAATAGATGGTAATGTTACTCTAAGGAATAGTAATTCCTTGCCAGAAAACCAAACACACCCAACAGTACAACCTTTCCAGACTTTTCTAAACCTGTAATGAGAGTTTTTAAGGACTGGAAAAAATTTCAAAAAGGGTTTCCGAAAATGATCTATGCTATCATACACTGTTGGTGAGAAAGTAAATTACCATATCCCCACAGGAGGGCAATTTGGTTATGAATATCAAAGCATAGCATATTCCCTTAACCCAACAATTCCATTTCTAGGCACTCTGACATACAGAAATATATGTTTAAGACGCACACACAAGAATGTTCATTACAATTTTGTTTGTAATAGCAAAAAGAAAAAAGGCAAAAATAAATATAAATCCATAAGGGAATAGTTAAATAAAGTACAGTATATCTATATCATAGAAAATTATGTGTGCTCTTTCTTTTCCAGACCACGCCTGTGCCTCCTCCCTCTTTCAACCCTCAAGGCATGTATCTCTCTCGCCCTCTTTCTCCTTTGCTCCAAGTACCCTTCTACAACCTCTGTAACTTTCGAAATAAACTTTCCTTTACAGTTTGAGAAAGAAAATTATGAAGGCATAAAAAATGAGGTAGAGCCCTGGCCAGTTTGACTCAGCGGTTAGTGTTGGCCTGCGGATCAAAGGGTTGTACATTTGATTCCTAGTCAAGGGCACGTACCTGGGTTGCAGGTTTGATCCCTGGCCCCCGTGGCGGTCGTGCAGGAGGTGACCAATCGATGTGTCTCTCTCACATCGATGTTTCTCTCTCTCTCTCTTCCTTCCACTCTATCTAGAAAGCAATGGAAAAATATCCTTGGGTGAGGATTAAAAAAAAAAAGATGGCCCTCATGTTGATATCTCTCCCTCTCCCTAAAAATATTATTAAAAAATGAAGGTAGAGCCAAATAAGCTGCTTGTAAAAAGATTTTTCAGACACACTAAGAAAAAAAAGTATGGTTTAGAATAGTATGTATAATGCGATCCTGTTTGAGTTTAAAAATTCATATTTAAACTGGTAGCATATTTTTTAAAAGTGTCTAGAAAAGGAAAATGTTTATATATTTTATTTTTAATTAATTTATTTTTGTTACAGATGTTTCTCCTTTTTCCTCCATTGACACCATCCTCCTGATCGCCCCCTCCTACCTCCCTGTCCCCAGCAGTGTTGTCTATGTCCGTGGTTACACATACATGCATATAAGTTCTGTAGTTTATCTCTTTCCTCCCCTGACTCCCTCTTCTGAGGTTTGTCAGTCTGTACCCTACTTCTGTGTCTCTGGGTCTATTTTGTTCATCAGTTTGTTTTGTTCATTATATTCCACAAATAAGTGAAATCATGTGATATTTGTCTTTCTCTGATTGGCTTGTTTTGCTTAGGATAATACTCTCCAGGTCCCTCCATGGCATCTCAAAGGATAAGAGATCTTTCTTTCTTTTTTAAAAAAAAACAACTTTTTTTTTCCCTTTTTTGATTTGAGAGAGAGGAAGTGAGAGGGAGAGAGAGAGAAACATCGATGAGAGAGAACATCGATTGACTGCCTCCTGCATGCCCTGCACTGGGTATCGACCCCACAACCTGGGCATGTGTCCTGACTGGGAATCGAACCAGCAACCTCTTCGTGCATGGGTCAATGCTCAACCACTGAGCCACACCAGCAGCATGAGAGCTTTCTTTCTTACAGCTGCATAGTATTCCATTGTATACCACAGCTTTTTTATCCACTCATCTATCGATGGACACTTGGGCTGTTTCCAGATCTTAGCAACTGTAAACAGTGCTGCTATGAACATAGGGGTACATATATTATTTCTGATTGGAGTTTCAGGCTTCTTAGGATATATTCCTAGAAGTGGGATCACTGGGTCAAATGGCAGATCGATTTTTAATTTTTTGAGGTAAAACCATACTGTTTTCCATAGTGGCTGAAACAATCTGCATTCCCACCAGCAGTATACTACAGTCCCCTTTTCTCCACACCCTCACCAGCACTTGTTGTTTGATGATTTGTTGATGGCAGCCATTCTGACAGGTGTGAGGTGATACCTAATAGTTGTTTTAATTTGCATCTCTCTGATGATTAGTGACATTGAGAATTTTTTCATGTCTCTTGGCTATTTGTATGTCCTGTTTGGAGAGGTGTCTATTTAGGTCCTCTGGCCATTTTTTAATTGGGTTCTTCGTCTTTTGTTGAGTTGTATGAGTACTCTATATATTTTGAAAATTAGCCCCTTATCTGATGTATCGTTGGCAATTATGCTCTCCCATATAGTGGGTTCCCTTTCCATTTTGATGGTTGTTTCTTTTGCTGTGCAGAAGCTTTTTAGTTTGATGTATAATCTGGTAGCAGGTTTTATTAAAAATTGTGTTCTGTTTCCCTGGTCTCCCATTTATGCTGAGAACTTTCCCCATTCTGGAAGCCAAAAACAAAGGTTTCAAATTACTAATTCCACATATAGGCAAAAACAGGTATCTGGTCCCATTCCTTGTCCCCTCTTCCCCAGGCCCCATCAAGATGCTCAGAAAGTACTAGCAAATTATAAGTGTAGAGCACCTTACCCCTGCCTTGGGTGGACACCCATGGAATGAATGTTAAAATCCCTAGATAAGCTTTGGGATCCAAGACAGGGCACAGTGACTTCCCTACATAGGACAGGAAGCCCAGAGCATTCCTTCACACCACTGCCATCACCAACACAGCATGGGAAAATAAAGATGGGGGAGCCAAGAAAGACAGGCCTGGAGTGGCCATGTGGAGCCAATGAGAAGATGGGAACAGACCAATATTTTCCTATGGGGAGGGAGCT